GACATGTTTAGTCCAAGCGCTCTGTTGAATGACTACCGTCAGCGCCGCTGCAAAACTCCGCTTGATTCGGGGCGCTGAAGTTTCATCCAGGGGGCCTTTGTAGAGTTCAGTCACTTGCCATCAGATGAGTAAAATGGTAGCGGGATGAGGTTCGTATGAGAAATTGGTCAACTTCTGAAGGACTCGAAGGTTAACGGTAGACCACAGCGAGAAGGCGAGCATCGGACCTGCGCACCAGGATTTGAATACACAGTGCATCGCAAGAAGATGGAAGAGTGGTATCGGGGAGGACAATCGGAATGGTCGTAGGTAGGTATAAAGCAACCCCACCAAACCTCCCTCATTTTGAGTCAGCCCGAGAGTAGCCGTCTATCGCGTCTCCGTGAGTGGGATTATGGACGGTTTTTCAAGGCAAACTAACTGTTCAATATCACAAATTTTGTCCAAAGGGCTGGAGAAATTTGCGGATTGTCATTTCAAGTCTCTCTGCCTCTAACGGTGAGGAGCCGAGAGTTGTATAACCAGACACAATAGCAGAATAGCTAGCTGTACCTACAGTTCGTGTCTGAATCTCCAAATGGGTCTTTGAGGCATAATTGTCTGCATGCTGTCTTGGTTGTTTTGAGGCTGCGGTAGCGGTTGTATTTCAGTAAAACAAACTTTTGTACAGCGATGTGACTGGTAATGATGGGAAAAAAGAAGATGATACTGAGCATGAAAAAGAGCAGTTTACAAGTGCTACACTCTGTCTGAAGGATTTGAGACAAACTTGTATCTGTTTGGTTTCTTGGGCATTTGCTTGTGGTTCGATCGGGCTTTCAACCCATTTTATATTGTGTGTTTCAGGTGAAGGGACCGCGCGGAACGAAAAGAAAAGTGCCCCAAGAAGCCTGGAATAAAGACTCGATACTGTGTATTAATCCATGCATCCGTGACTTCTTGCTGCAGTCATTTTTCTATTTTTATAGCTCGGAGGACGCGCAACGACCACGACGATCTCGGCGCAGGAAGCGTGATCCAGATTCCTGGTCTCTTGTATCACTCGAATAATCCGCATTGGGCCCGCCTCCATTGGACGTTAAACATAGTAATTCGAATGCCCGATTCTGATTGGCCTACGTACCCTTTGGTCCGTTCGCTACACATCCGACCGCCAAGCGTGGTGTACACTAAATACGCTCGGGTTGCCGCTGGACAGTTCCCTGCTGAAGATCCTGTTCGTGTGCTTATAGCTTCGATTTCACTTGCGATGTCTCGAGTTGCCTATGTTGTCTGCCGTTGTGTCCCCGGGTGATGAAGATGTTAACGTGCAGGTCCACGTAATATTTGTTCTTGATGGCCCTGTATTTGCCGGTGATGTCGGAGGGTATATTTGAGTTGTCTGGTTTTGCTCGCGATACAGTTACATCTTGGGGCCACACTCTTCTCCCTGAAATTGATTCACGCTGTCTCATGCCTTGTTTTTGACGTGAGCCGGATACTGGTTCAGCTATAACACGCTTTCGGTGTCTAGCTGCCATCCACACGAAGGAGGCAGGTCGCTCAAGCCTAGACAGGGGAAGTCGAGTGGCAGAAGTCGGGTTCGAACCACGGACCTTCCTGTCAATAAGTTCGCGCTCGAACCACTTGGTCCATCTCTCCCCGAGCCGGATACTAGTAGTCCATCTGGTGTCCACTGTTTTTGGCGTTGACTGTATCTGCCAGTCACTACTTTCTGACACTCTTGAGACTTGCACCTTCTGTTTTATCGGTGCTTCGCCCTTACCTTATGGATAGCAGTGGAAACCTGCCTGAGTTGTAGATTGAAGGATTCAGACTCCCGTCGGCACGACGTTGACTGTAAACAGGGTTTGTCAGGGCAGACTGAGGTGAGTGAGCTAATGGTGTCAGACGTAACGGGTCGCGCGCACTCCCATTTTTGCTGATCTAGGTGGAACTGTACTGACCGCAAAATTATCAATGACCATGATGGCCGTAACCGCGTCGCCAGCTGTAGCCGTTTGTTGCTGGAATTGCTGTAAGCGTAAAAGCTGTTAGTGGAGTCCAGGCCTAGGTGATGGATGCTTGTCTAGTTGGTGAGGAAGCATGCACTACTGCATTGAATGCAACTGAACATTACGGGGTGGGTAAGCTTCCCAGTTCGTCCCAGACTTTCACAGGATGCATATTGCGAACGGTCTCGCTTGGGCATCCAATCCGCCGCCTTCAAATAACGCCACTTGTTCGTTTGGAAATAAGAGAGATAAAAAAAAGTTTGAAAAGTTGGAGCTTAACTGGTATCATGCGCACTTGGAGATTTTCGTCTCACCGGTAGCCGTATATCCCATGCTGAGTGCCTTTCACCAAGTTATCTGCGGGAGCTCCTGGAGCTCTCTTTGGGGCATTCTTTTTTGTGACCTCGTTTGCATTCCCTGCACCTATGGTCCCGGTGGAGATGGTGGCCTGAAAATCGCCAGTTGCTAGAAAGACGGTAGGGCTGGATAGTTTCCCTGGAGATAATGTAGAATTTGATTACCCTTTTTGGATTACTGTGCATACTCAGGCTAGGAGGGCCGGGAAAATTACATCATAGAAGCACCAGTTAGCATTCTGTAGCATGTTTCTAAGGTGTTAGCTCCGAATCTTGTTCACTTTGGTGTACTCCCTGGCAGCGCATACTGTGGTGACTGAAGACCAGACACGTAGATGAGACACTTGAATTAGTTTTCTGTTGATGGTGCTCAGCTTGAAGCGATCAAGTTCTTTGTTCACCACACCAACTAACGTGTGCGTCTTCGGTATCTGTTTTGCTATTCTTGTTAATCAGGGAATTCTGCCCACCGGGATGTCGATATTCGCTTAGCCAAGATCACGAGAGAGGTTAGAGAGTGGAATCCGTGAACTGATCGAGCTGAGCCGTCCCTAATTTAAGCATTAACTGTCGAGTCTCATTCGTGTTCAAGTTGAACGAGGCTGATTTGAAACATGTCCTCATTCCTTGAATCAACTTCCGGATATTTGTCCAAATTCAGCTTATAAATTGCGTTTAGAAATGAACTTCGCGTCAGATTCTGTCGGGAAAGACGCATGCGCACCTGTTTTTATGGTATAACCTTACTCATCGTTCTTGTCATCGAATATGACACCAGCAAAAAGTACTGGTGCTTTACTGTCGTACAAACATCGGTTTATTATAATGAAGAAGAAACGGAACAGGGATGGGGACCAACACAGGCGATTTGGATAGAACCTGACAGCGTGACAGCAAGTGACATCGGTCAGTCGTCGTCGGTCGTCATATCATTCAGTGTCTCCAACCAAGGGTGGCCGAAGGCCGCACTAGCATCAAACGTTCACCATCATTATTCGTCCAACACTTACACCACTCAGCGTGGACCAAGAAGCTACCGCTTCACTTAATCCGTAAAAAAATACAGCCCGTTTCTCGAGAAACGAGAAGCTTTCAATCACTGTCAAATCAATCACACCAACAAACTGTTTGAAGACGTTATATGCAATAGCTGCGCTTTGGAGGCGGGAACTGATAAATTAGTGCTCAAATACAGCACTGTCAGTTGACTGTTAAGTGGGGGAATTGGAAAGAGAGCTATGCATTGAAGGCAATAGCTTGGATTCATGAGCGCCATTGAGGGCGCGACTGGGCCATGTCTGACAATCTCTCTAACCGTTGATATGGCCCGTCTTGGGGTCCCCATCCAGGAAGACGGCAATGACCAGCGCAGCTGAGTTTGCTGACAATGGCCTTTATACTTCGCTGCCAAGTGATTGGCCGCCTCTGACTCTCTCCCACCTCATGAACAATCATCGTGAACAATCATCATGAACAATCGGTGCGCACGACTTTCTGTAATCCACCACCTCACCCACCAACACAACTTGCTAATGCAGGCCTTGTCTTCAGTCAGTCCGTACATCACAAGGACTTGCGTACTCGGATTTCTACGGACCTCTCTCCTCACGTACATGTGTTTTTAATAGCCATCACCATATTCTCCAGCTGTAAGAACCACGCACTTGCCATGTACTGACGACATCTGCCACAGTGGTGGGTAGCTAGTCACTTGGGGCGAGATAGCTCAGTGGTTAGAGCGCGTATATACTGAACAGAAGGTCCGTGGTTCGAACCCGACCTCTGCCTCTCGACTTCCCCTGTCTTGGCTCAGTCGGCTTATCCGCAAGTACGCGGTGGGGGTTCGAGTCCACTCAGTCTTCCAAGAGCACTGTACACACTTCAGGTGCATGCCAAACCGTAATTCGGAGTTACTTAGGTTATTTATTGTTATCTGCATTACAGTGGCATCAGACACAAGAGGAGCTATGTCGTCTGTATACTCGATATCTGTGAGCGAATGGCCCGATGGCATTTCGACCCCACAGGCGTTAGAGGCTGGGAGTGCGTGTCCCATAATCACATCAAAAATGGAGTTGAAGGGGAAAGGTGAAAGAGGATAGTCTTGCCTGGCACAGCTTGGTGTGGGGAACTTAAACAAGAGCCTTCCGTAAGCCTCCACGCGTCCGGGGCGTCGGTGTACAACGCTATAAGCAGGGTCCAGAATTTGCGTGCGACACATGTGCTCCATAGACATAGCCGTGGTGAAGTACGGTCCACAGAGGCAAACGCAGCTTTCAAGTCAAGGAAGACTGCCATTATTGGTCCGTCACGAAAAGACTAGGCCATATCGTAGTGTGACGGTTTGTGTGCCTCCGTGACCCACTGAGCTGTACTGGTGTATTTCCATGCCGCGTAATCTCATACCAGGTTGATCAATCGTAAAAATTCCGTACAACACAGACTCCTGACCCTCCAGATTGCGGGTTGGAAGATGTATGGCGATTTGTTCTATAAAAATGGCAATGCACTTGTATTTCCAGCCAAACCTCGCTGCCTTGTGATCAGTGTTTTGAGCCAAAGGCTTTGGTCGAAGACCCCAATCTTCCTCCTTTGCTGTGGGCCCAATCTCATGTACGACCATGACACAACTAACCAAACTCCTATGCCACATCCACCATCGTGTGGTACCCTCAGCCGGGTTGCCTTCAATACAACATACAGCAGAGCCAGTAAGCGAAAGCAGGCTACTGCTAACGCTTCTGCTATTTTTCGCCTCTTCACACCGTTAATAATCCTCTCCTTTTAGGCCCATCAGTCAGGGCACCGTTAATAATTCTCTCCTTTTAGGCCCGTCAGTTAGGGCTGATGACTCCGTTCTTTCTGCACCGGTTTTGAAAGCAACTCTGCACATCATCCGGTGTTGACGCTGATGACTCCGTTCTTCCTGCATCGGTTTTGCAAGCAACTCTGCACATCATCCAGTGCTGATATCATCAGGCATCTTCAACCCCTGATGCCTAGTCAGTATGGCTGCTCTTAATTTCCTTACTCTGAACCAAGCAGGACAACAAGTTTCTCTAGCTCTCATATTGGACTGACTTGATATTGATGTGTAATGTGCATGGGAAACAAGCATTCAAGATGCCGATTCATTGTATGAGCTAACCGTCCCACCACTCTCCACTCGCTTCGGGCTGCTCAGCTCTGACGATCCAGAGGCTGCTGCGGCAGGATATACAGCCCGTCCTAATTCATCGGGCGGAAGGATACCCGTTGAGGATCGCATCTGTGGGGTTCATTTGCCAACGTGCCTGATGGATCTCACAACCTGGAAGTTGATCGTTATCCGTCTGTCATCCCTGCTCACACCCCAACCGACTATAGCTATGGTATCTTCAAAATGAGCTTTATGACGTCTGGAACGTACTGCCATTGCAACGTAGAAGCTCAGATATCGTTGTGGTTGCCGAAGATCTGAATGCATAAGTGAGCAGGCTTAGTGCAACTGAGACTCAATTAGGTAGTCGACATGGATTCAACTCGGTGCGTACTCATAGTACTGAAAGATTGCTTCAGCTATCTCGTGATCGCAGGCGGTCACTCGCAATTGTACAGCATTTTACTTATCTTGGGAGTTGCGTTCATTCCGATTCTAGTGTGACAAATGATCTCAGTACACGAATGTGCAAGGCCCGGGTCGGGTTTGCTTATTTGAGACACCTATGACGTCAATGTAATATATCCCTGAATCTCAAGGGACGTATGTATCAGGCTACAGTGTGGGCTGTTTTCTACGATTGTGAGACTTGTCCTATTAGAGAAGCGGAACCGAGACGTCTTCAGGTCTGCGACAACCATTTCCTCAGAACCGTAGCTCTTACGCAGTGGTGTTGGTGAATCCATAACGAGACGATTAGAAAGGTAGTGCGGTTGTCCAACGGGGGCTTCCATAGAATGATATGTCCAGCAGACGAAGTTGCGTTGGTTAGACCATGTTTTCTCCACACCTAACCGTCGTTTTCCAAGGAGTGACGTTTTCTGTGACCAATTTAGAGTGGAACAGGTGGAGAGGTGACCAACCTTTGACCTGGAAGAGGGTTATGAAGGAGATGACCATAGGTCTGGGTGGTGTTGGTGGGATTCGGCTTCCATGCTAGGTTCCGCGTGACTCCTCCTGGTGCCTGTTTGGAAACGTTGCAAAATATGGCTGCCATTCAATATCGTTGGCGTCATTGTTATCAGTTTCTATCCATATTGCCCGAATGAGTGTCTGAAAATTGTTGTCGGTTGCTATTAAGTCAACTTTTTTCCGTTCATTTCTCTCGTTTGCTTCACAATGATGCTTTGAAATGAATCCTATTTGTACGCCACTGAATCACGGTTTTAAACACTGATATTTTGCTGTCGATGATGATGATCGCAATCTGTTATCGATCGCGCGGAACAATAAATGACTTCCGTTCTGCGATTTCTGACCATGTGGTCGTTTGGAGTCGCTTTTTTCTTCGTGTCCGGGGATCGAACAAGGTGCGTACAAACTCCCGGGAAAGTCGAACTAACCATGGTTCGAACCCAACATCTGCCTGCAGACTTTCCCTGTCTAGATTTGGGCAACCTGGCGGTATCCTAGCCCTCGTGCTTCCTTCGGGTGGCATGGCAGCTAGGCACAGAAAGGGTGTAACAACTTAACGATTTTTTTATATCGCGAAATGTCTTCTCTTTCAGAGCACACGTTTTGTCCTTCAACTTGGCTTTGTCCCACGTCGTCTTATGTCTTGGGGGAATTGAAAGGAGCACGGCAGGTCGCCAGAGCACTTCTCGTTCACAATGGCCACTCGTGATGTGTTTCGCGGAGAATTCGATTTCAAATCGAATGAATCCTTGGATACTCAAATAACTGAGTCAATCGATAGGGGAGATTTTCCCGTGGCCATCTTGTCGTTGGTGATGCTTATTATCTGGTCCATCTATATGTTGTTCTACAATTCACGAGTGGTCGGTATTTTGATCTCCCTGATAGCCAGACGATTCGTGAAGCGTGGTTTCATCCGATTCGGCTCTGTGTCGTTCTCAGCGTTGGGTGGAAAATTGATGCTTAGAGATTTCGCCTACATGACTGATGATTATACCATTCGATGCTGCTACGCGATCGTCGTTTTCAATTACTGGCTGCGCTTCACATCAAACACTGTAGGTGAGTCGAGCTTGAATCTCGTCCAGTGCATACGTTTCTTGCAATTTGTCGCAGTTCGGCGGTCCACGCGGTTTCAACATACCGATATGAACCATAGCAAGTTACCTATGCATGGTTGGTCTTCCGGGAGCCAAGTATTTCATATGAGGTGTTTTTCCTCCTAGTTATGGAATCATTCGACATCATGTATTTTGTCGAGCACAGCTTTGGCTTCCTAACGCATCTATTGGTGTGATATTTGTTTTCTGATTGCTAACACTAATCAACTTTACTACCAAAGCGTCCATTGTCATTTTATTCACCACCTTTGTCCCTATTCCCTGCCACGGCCTAAACAGTAAGATCAGGGTTGGCGGTCTGGTTATAAGTGTTATAAGTATTACATCAAGTTATAAGTACATCAATTTATAAGTATTACACCAAGGAAACTAGCGTGAGGACGACTCTATGCTAATTCTTGACCGATTTGGTCTAACCTTTCATTCTAAAATGTTTGTAACGTGTAGACAAAATTTCATCCTTTTGAGTTGCTATCTGCAAGCACAAGAATGCACCGAAATAAAGAGATCCTGGTGCGGATGATCTAGATCAGCTTTGAGCTTAAAACACTGGCGTTTATTTCAAAAGTATAACATACAGTGTGCTAAGCTTGTGCATCGTTAGCGGAGGTTTTCAAGCTATCACAAAATAAGAACGCCATAGCTGATTAAATTTGACCACAAATTTGCTATCTTGGTGTGGTCATATGTAAAAAGGTTTGCGTTTGAGAGCCTGGTGCTTCCATTAGGCTGTCCAGTGTCTTCCGAGTTTTTCACTTAATTTGATCTGGCTTCAACGTTTCATTTCATTTCAACACGAGATGTGGCGCCTTATAAGTTTTGGGCATAGGAAATCAAATTCCATCAGCTGTTTTCAGTGAAATGTTGAAATTTGTTAGTGTTCTAAACTGAATATTAACGGGCAAAATTGTAAACACCAGATGGTCTCAGTAATAGTTGGGATACCATACGTGATCATGCATGGAAGATTGCGCGTTACTCACCCGACGGAAGTGGGAAGCGAGGAGTCCGCGTCGAACAATATCCCAAGTCGAACGCCTTCAGCAGTTTACTCGTTTGTTCTCCTCCTGAGGTATCTCAATCTAGCGCAACTGCGTGCAGCCAAATCACTAATGCGAGACAATTCGTTTGCTATCCAACATCCGCCACTGTAGTGTAATGCTCTGGAGCTCGATACAGATCCAGCTTACGCACCGGAAGGTCCGCGATATGCACATAACCTCAGCATCTCGACTGCTCATGCCCAGGCTTGGACGTTATCCCGACCTTCGTGCCTCCTTCCTTTGGCATGGCACCTAGGCACCGAAAGGGTGCTACGGCTGAACGATGATGCACTGCGTGTGCGTGGAATATGCTGTTGGTATAAAATCAAAGGCTTGTGTTTTTGTTATCCCGTTCTCTATCCATGTTTGCAATTACTGCGTTCTTTGTGTGTCATCATCCACTCCAGTCCCTCTGGACAGTTGTGTTCAGTTTCTGGCAGCACAAAAAGATTTGTTTAGAATTTTAAACATTGTGGCGTTTACAATGCTTCATTTGTAATACCCAAGCTCCATAGCCTACTTTGTTTCGCTCTAATCCGCGCTAATAACCTCGTTGGCGCACAGTTAACGGAGGTATTACCAACTTCGCCCTAAATTGCCACGGGAACGATGGACCGCCATCCGTACGTACTCTTGTATGGCAGGTGGTTTCTGTGAATTGTGGACGAATCTAGTAATGCCTGAAAGCAACTCAGTGCATCAAATAAACTACCTCTGTGTCCAGTTAGGAACGGCAGACTCCTCTTAATTCACTGGAACTACAAAACTCTGTAGTCTTTTCACTGCAATCAGCAGGACTTTTTGTTTGTACGACCTCTGGTTGGTGCATCTCTGAGTTTCTGACTAATCTTTACGTTCAGCAAGGGATCCACGTGTTGGAGGAAGATGCCTTTACATATACCTCTACGGGCTCGATATTCACTTGTACAATCGCACCGCAGCGTACGAAGAACTGGGGAAGCTATTCAAGATTGCCTCAAAAAGTAACAGAGGTTCCCTGCAACGACAGTGGACTGATTCGGGTTCAACGAAAGGTATCCCTTTATCAACCTCCCGGAGCCGTCTTTCAGAGGCTGATACACTTGACAACGATGATGTGATCACAAAGCCGAATGGGTATGTTCCATTACTTTCAGTGTTTCTTGTTTGCGTGCGGCACATTCACCAACGTAGGTTTACTATTGCATTGTTCTCACAAAGTTTGGTGTGGCATTTTTGGTGCCCATCCGTTTGCAGACCATCATCTCATACAATCCAACCGGCCTGTTGGCAACCCGCATAGTCGCCAAATGGGTATTTTAACAAGCTGTCATTATAACGCGTTGCCCTATAAGCACTTTGTTTACCCCTATTACCAACGCTCAATATCGAAGTTAGTAGCCAAGGGACGGCAACGACTGGTGCAGCTGAGTTTTGCGGTATTTGCCTTCGTATTTCGCTGCCAAATCATTGCCCCGCATGCTTATGCGAACAGGACTGTTCGGGAACGTCAGTCGACTGGCATACGGAGCACGCGACCAAACGAGTATAACCGGTGGAGTATGATTATTGTGGGTGGGTTATTTCCAAAACCTATTTGATGTACTTCAGCATTGATGATCTGATTTTCCCACCAGAATCGGGCAGTACTCCGGAGACCGATGGTCGAACACTAAAATCCTTTTGAAGTCATCACTATGCACCGACCGACTTTCTGACCCACGTAACAATGTGGAGCTCCCGGCTGCATTGTAAACCCGACCCCTGACAAAAGCTGTCCTATCATTCCTAATCTGGATGAAAGTATCACCGGTTAGACCAACAGGACTGATACAGCTACCCAGGTGGATGATCAACTCAACTGCAAGCGAGGTTCGGGTTTGAGCCAACGTAGTCACGCAACAGCACTCTACACTTTGCAGTTGTGAAACGCATACGAAACCATGAGGCAGATTAATTTAGACCAATTAATGTTGCCTACGTTGCGATGGCGTCAGAAGAACTCTGTCGTCTCTGTTGGTCATGTCTGAGCTAACGCCCTTATAGCATTTCGACCCAAAAGGCATTAGAGGCTAGGAGTGAGTGTTCCATAATGGTATCAGCAATGAAGTTGAAGAGGACAGCCCTGCCCTACATTGCTTGATGTAGTGAACTTAAGTGAGAGCTTCCCGTAAACCTTCACGAGTCCACTCGAGTTGACGTACGCACTTTAATGGATACCAACGACTTGTGGAGAAAATCTTTGCTCCATATACACCACCATAGTGCCTGACGATCCACCAAGTCAAAGGCAGCTTTTTAGTCAAGTATTACAAGTAGTTTCGCTGTTCCATAATCTATCACAGAGTGAATATGTGATCGATACAGTGAGTCTGCCTCGTAATGCGGTTACTCGTAACATGTGATCTGACTGCTTCAAGTCCGATTGCTCTCATTTGGCCTTGCTGACCTTGTTGCACCGAAGTTCTAATCACTTAAGCCCGCGTGATTATTGCATTATTCAAGTCCGACCACTAAGGCGGCAGTTCTCTGGTCCAAATGACCTACACATGGGGCAGATGCCTAGATGAATTTCATGGTACAGACGACCCCTGTCACTTGCTCGGACTCTTCATGAACAGTCGACTGTGATTTAGAAACGGGCCTCCCTTTTGACACAGCGTCATTGAATTCCTGATTCTGGTCATTCACAGTCAGTTGAAACTCAGTTGTTTATTAGATAGGGACTACTGTTGTCCTTCACTATCAATTTTTGTGTACTCACATTGAGGTAGCAGTGTGAGACTTTCAAATGATGGCCACATTTAAACCACGCTGCTGTCGTATGCCTTGTCTGCGATCAGTTTGGACGCATCTTGCCAGGACAGATCGGGGCTGGGTAGTTTTCTCTGCAGTCTATTGTAATCGGAAAGTGGAAAGGTTGGGTTCGGCTTCATCGGATCTTGTTTAATGCCCACCGTCTAGGTCAGTTATGAACTCACGAGTGAGATGGCCCAAGTGGTTAGAGCCCGAATTTAATGACCGGAAGGTCCGTGATTCGAATCCGACCTCCGCCACTCGACTTCCCCTGTCTAGGCTTGGG